CTTGATGATTAAGCTCACACTTACTATATCTAAACAAATAAATAAATTGAAATGATGTCTGATTGAGTGAAATGTAGTGGCTTTTGTTAAAATCTCATATTATTAAGTGTTAGTTTGTCCAGGAGATTGCAGCAATCTTCCACTAGATTATGGCTCACTAGATTATGTCAACACCATGAATGAAACTAAGAATTGTAAAATTTTTACAGTGAATTCTGAACTTGTGATTGATAAGACATCCCTTCATTTACTGCTACAAACTGATAATGGTCAGATAAGTATGATTTAAACCATGTTAATGCAATTCCACTAATGCCAACATAATTTTTGAGTCTATTTAAAAGAATGTTGTGGTCAATAATAGTATCAAATGCAGCACTAAGATCGAGTAACACTAATAGAGAGATACAGTCACGATCGGATGATAAAAGCAAATCATTTGTGACTGATGAGAGCTGTCTCAGTACTATGGTACGGTCTTAATCCTGACTAAAAATCCTCGCAGATATCATTTCTTTCTAAAAAAAGGACCATAGTTGTTGTGAGAATACTGCCTTTTCTAGTATCTTTGACATAAAAGGTAGATTCGAGATCGGCCTGTAATTGACTAATTCTGTACGATCAAGTTGCGTTTTTAACAAGTGGTTTAATCATAGCCAGCTTAAAAGTTTTTGGTACATATCCTAGTGACAGAGATGAATTAATGATATGGAGGATCTATGACCTCTGGAAGCATCTCTTTCAATTGCTTAGTCGGTATAGGGTCTAGCATACATGTTGTCGATTTAGGTGATTTAATGAGTATATATTAAAATTCTTCCTCGTCTATAGCAATGAATGAATCGAATTTTTTTCTTGGGGAGACTACAATACACCCCCTGATGCGATGCTGTAGTAGACTGTCGCATGGTTATAATTTTCTCCCTGATATTATCAATCTTATAAGTGAAGAAGGTCATAAAGTCATTACTGTTGTGCTGCTTGGAAACCTCTGGGCTTGAAGCTCCACTTAGGTGGTGCTAGACTACGGTTCTGCTGTGAGCACCACCCACTTGATTGAATACGCGTGCGGCGTGCGCTGATTGACTGATTTTATAGGCAGAACGTTTAATTTTACTTGTTGTTACCCATGTATATCTCAGTATAGATTGTGTTTAGAGAGTTGAGGAAAAACAAAGACCAATTGTAAGTGCTGAACATATTATTATATTGTAACAGTAGGCTATAAAACGTTACTTGGTTTTGTATATTGTTTTCATTGTTTTCTTGAGGATGATGCATAGGGGCCAGTATGTGTTACCACTAGCAGCCGCTTGAGGGCGCTAGAGTTAATTGATTACAGGATATAACCCCGATCACAGACTAGTAAGTGAGTTGTGGTAGAAGGAAACCAAAGAACGTATATTGTCAAGAAGTGAAAGCCAATAGAACGTTCCATTGCAAGTTAACACCAGCGCCCAGCATCAGCCCTACGCGTCCGCCATTTTGGGGTGAAAGCGACTCAGCAGTCATATATTATATATATATTTAGTCCAGTGCAGAGGTCATTTTTAGGTTGCAATAATTAGGTGATTATTTTAACTCACAACAGTTAACGTTATAGCAGTTAAAAAGAAGTTGCTACTTAACCAGGCTTTCCCCCCACATAACATTGTACTAAAATGTAAATGTTGGACAATAAATATATCACAGCAATAGAATAGCTTTACAGTAAACAGTTGTTTTTTTGTTTTGTTTTTTGCAGTACTATCTTTATATTAATGACCGTTAAAGCAAGACATATGTAAACAAAAAAACACATCCACTGTCCAAAGTGGCAATTAAAGTTATAGGACAACGGACACAGCAATGCATCATGTTCTAAGATCATCATGTTTGTAGCATGATCCAGGGGATTAAAACATATTTCAGACCTAGTGTTTGAGTTGGTAACTAAAAATAGTAGTAAATGTGTAAAGTTGCATACAATGGAAATACTCACTAATGCAAGCAAAAACTACGTCAAAAAACTGTTATCTGTGCTGTTGTCCATAACCAAAGATTATAGAAGAACAAGAGGCGAAACTCTGATGCTTTTTTGGTAACAGCCACTAGGTGGCGCTTCGGTAGTGCGGCCGCCATTTTGGAGTGAATATTCCAACTGGAGTTACTGGACAACAGCACAGATAACAGTTTGTTGAGGTAGTTTTTTCTTGCATTAGTGAGTATTTCCATTGTATGCAACTTTACACATTTACTACTATTATTAATTACCAACTCCACTAGGCCTGAAATATATTTTGTACGTTAATCCCCTGGATCATGCTACAAACATGATGATCTTATAGAACATGATGCATTGTGTCCGTTATCCTATAACTTTAATTGCCACTTTGGACAGTGGCTGTTTTTATGTTTACATAGTCTTGCTTTAACGGTCATTAATATAAGATAGTACTGCAAAAAAAAAAACAGTTTACTGTAAAGCTATTCTATTGCTGTTATATATTTATTGTCCAACATTTACATTTTAGTACAATTACATTTCTTTGCTGAATTCGTTTATTTCATTGATAACTTATTTTTGTATGTAACGTTATGTGTATCTCCTGGGAAACGGTCTAACGTTATTATTATAACTGAACTGATATCACTTTATTCTTACCCGTCACACTTAAAGCTGCTGTAGGTAACTTTTGAAAACATGTATTTGCTAAGACTGTCATTATGTCCTGACAGTAGAATATGAGACAGATAATCTGTGTAAAAATCAAGCTCCTCTGGCTCCTCCCAGTGGTCCTATTGCCATTTGCAAGAAATACACGCTCCCGGTCAGAAACAACCAATCAGAGCCAGGAGGAATGTCTTAGCAGTGTCAATCACGCTTGTGTACGCGCTGATCACACCCCTCTCTTGCACAGCGCGTTGCGCGAGCCGTCGTTCAAACTCAAGATTGCCGGCGTGCTGCAGCTGTGCTTATGACGGAGAAACAACCTAAACGGCCAATTCTCGAGTGACACCTGCTCATAAAACAAAGAGGTAAAAGGAAAAAGACTGATGACGATAAACAAGCGAAAAAGAAAGAATTACACAGAGCCCATTGACTCGGTATCAAAACTCTAGCCGCATAACATGTAGATAAAATGTCACGCACTCTGCTAAGCAACAATTGAAACCTGCTAATTCACTGGTTTGTCATGTTGCTGAAATAATGTACTAGCACACCTTATCTAGCATTATATATCGCTAGAATAATTACTTGCATACTGTAACGTTAGTTACCGTTATATTAACGTTATCTTACTAGCTATTTATAACTTAGAAAGAGTGCAATGTTATAAAGTTACATACAGGCTATTGGAAAATATATAATGATTTGAGGACCAAGTTTGTAGTCAAAGTATGGGCAGGCCATAGTCAATGTAAAGCATATTATTGACGTTTATTAGTCATATTAGTCCCTATTAGTGAATGTGCCATATAACTTTTTATCCGCTGTGATCGGTGGCCCTGTTTACTAGCCTGCGCGTTCACGACGGGCTCCGCTGTGGAGGACGAGCTGTGGAGGGAGGGCTGTAGCGCAGCAGAGAGCAAGGGGATGGGACCTGTAAGTTGTGCTTGTTCAAATTTTCAGGCTAAGTCAACGTTTTCTCAAAACTCCCTACTGCAGCTTTAATGTGGAGAGTAATATAATTAATTAAATCCTTGAATTTCCCTGTCTCAAGGTATGTGGGGGGAAAAGCCTGGTTAAGTAGCAACTTCTTTTTAACTGCTATAACGTTAACTGTTGTGAGTTAAAATAATCACCTAATTATTTCAACCTAAAAATGACCTCTGCACTGGACTAAATATATGTATAATATATGACTGCCGAGTCGCTTTCACCCAAAATGGCGGACGCGTAGGGCTGCTGCTGGGCGCTGGTGTTGCAATGGAACGTTCTATTGGCTTTCACTCCTTGTCGTCAATATACGTTCTTTGCCATAACTCCAGTTGGAATTTTCACCCAAAAATGGCGGCCGCGCTACCGAAGCGCCACCTAGTGGCTGTTACCAAAAAAGCATCAGAGTTTCGCCTCTTGTTCTTCTATACTCTTTGGGGAAACCCCGGAAACCCCACGGTTGAACTCATGGCTACCTTTTCTCATAAGTCCTGTTTGAGAACTGTTTAAGTTTACGCTCAAACGTGAGTATATGGTGCTTAATATCGGTTTGATATGTGATGTATTAGAAATTACAAAGGCTAATGTGAGCTATTTGGTTTCTTTTATAGAAAGGACTTTTTGGACAGTTGGGATATTTGATCATTGGAGGTTGTTTGATACCTTTTGTTGGTCCATGCTGCATGAGGTCTTCTTAACTCATCACCATTTACAACTTGTTTTTCCATAAGCAATGTGGGTTTGGTGCTACAGATCTACAAGGCTGCTTATCTCCATTTCACACTCATTTGGATTACAGGAATATAACATTGTATCGCTCTCAAATAACTGTTTGGATCTCAATCATCTCATCTTCATCATCGGCTTAGTCATCTAACTCTGATTAATCAGGAAAAGTTTAAGTTATTGTTGACTCTCCTTGATGCTCAAAGACAAAGACTGCTTGGTTGTTTGTTGATTATTTGTTGTGCACTTGGGAATAAAATGAAATAGAAGAGTATTTGTTTGATGAAGTGGTTTTATTATCAGTATCAGTCGAATTCTGTTGAACCTCTTCAGATGTATCATCGTAAATTAAGGGAGGTGTTACAAAATTATACTCATAATTTTTGTTAAGAAAAATAATTATTATTATTTACTATGAAGAATACTTAATATAATAAATTACAATTTAGACTAGTTTTGCCTGTAAGTAATTGTCACGTGTTTAGCGAGTTGCATAACCATGTTTAACCATGCATGATGTTTGAATACTGACATTCACAGGGGATTGTATGTACATTTATTGTGTAAAGATTTGCTGTATATTCTTCTAATCAGCATGTTACTTCTGTTTTCTTTGCTTTCATCTTTTGATTAGGTTTTCAAGACTTGCAGTTTTTCAGCCACTGAATCAAAACAATGCAGCATCTGGGTAAGTTCAAAGTGACACTCCAACTCACGTCCACCACAGACTGGCTAATTACAAATGTAGGTCATATGCAACATTCTGCATTAGCTCACAATGATGCATAAACTGATCTTCAACTAATGTCATTTATTTCAGATGCTCTTTTTGTGAAACGTCACAGTGAAGTTCTCATCAAGAGGGTTACTCCTGTGATGCCCATTGCTGATGCATTGAAAGACGCTGCAATAATTCAGCAAGAAATATACACACAGATTCTGAATTCGTCTACAGATGTGAATAAAATGACGGTGCTCTTATGCCTCGTTTCCACTGAGTGGTACGGTACGGTTCAGTACGGTACGGTTCGGGTCGGGTCGCTAAACCATGATCGGGGCTCGCGTTTCCACTGCCAACAGTACCCTACTTGATAGGCGTGGTGTATGCCGGAAAGTAGTGATAACGTCACTTGATAGGCGTGGTGTTTGCCGGAGAGAAGCGATCGACGTCATTTTCGCGCGAACAAAAACGACATAGTAAACAACAATGGATGACAGACAGCAGATCTTGTTCTTGCTTCTCGGGATGTTTGTCACAAGAAACAAGCGCTGGCATTAGGCGTTTCTCAATACCAAGTAGCCACGCAAAGTCCGACTCAGGAGAATGATCCCGAGGACGCGAGTCCAGTAATTCTGCTGATGGAACAGCGCGTTCTTGAAAGCGCCACTCAGCTCGCTCTGCTACTCCGGTTATGTACATTTTAGGCAACAATAAAACGAAATATGTTATAAAACACCACTCTGCTTCTTTTCGATTTAATTTAAATACATTTTAAACATTATAAGTACATTACAAATGTGGTTCAGGCAACGCATAGCCTATATTGATTATATTCACTGCATGTAACGTTATATTTATAACAAAACTAAATATAAAACACAATCCTGCCTCTTTTCGTTTCAATTTAAAAATATTAAACATATTCCAGGCAATGTATTGCGTATTGCATTAGTACAAATGTTGCAATAGACAACATTACAGATGATCTTGAAATAAAAGAAAATAAATGACAAAACTATCTATTTTTGTTGAATTTCAGTTTTATCAATAATAGCCATTATAAAAGTATAAGTAAAAGGTACAAAAATATATACAGTAAAGCTTTAATAACAAAGCAAACAATTCAGTCAAATATACAAATTCAGCGCTCAAATATATGAAACTTCACTTAGCCTTCTGCCAAAACTATTGGCCAGGGAACGAATTATAAATTCACGAGACCAAAGATCGCCTGTTAGGTCTGTACAAGGCGAATTATATCTCATGTTTAACCACTACAGAGACGTCAGAGTCAGCGGCAAACATCAGAACGGCTAGCCGGGGAAAGGCTGCTCCAGGCGGGGTGCACGAGCGACGAGCGCCCGGTGATTGCTTGGAATGGATCTTCAAATTATCATAAATCTATAAATAAACCACAGATTTGAGCTTTAAAAAACTACTTTCTCGCCTGAAAAACTCTTAAAACTACATTTCGTGACACAATAACAGTAGTATTATATTTTAACTGTATGCTTCTAATGCCCTTGTAGCACGCGCAATTGACGATACTCTGTCAACCAATCACCGTTCTGCAGTGAGTCTAGCTCCACCTTTTAGTACCGTACCACTGTGCTAGGTACCCCAACGGAAGGGTACCCAAAAAGTGGTACGGTACGGTTCGGCTTTTTGGTACCATTCACAACTTTTGACAGTGGAAACGCAAATAATTGCGTACCGAACCGAACTGTACCGTACCGTACCGCTCAGTGGAAACGAGGCATTACATGCTCTGAGCACTGACAAAGCAAAATCTGCTTTTTACAATGAGTTGAAAACTAAGAATCCAGACCTGGTTGAAGATCTTGAACAAGAAGGTGAGAGAGATTTAGTAATGGTAAACATTTGTCAACACATACTGTACAATCCAAAATTATGGAAGCTTATTTATGCCACAGAATACAAAATTTTAAAAAGGAAATTGTGACTTTTTATTCCGTGGCAGATCCAAGCTTCCAGTCAAAACTCCACTGACTTTATCAACGCACACGACTCTTAAACTCAGTCTAGAAACACTCCTTGAATGGATGTTTCCTCTGTGCAATACTCACAGTGCATATTGGGAAATATTCTGGTTTAACTGTCATTTGTTTTTCAGATGCTCAATTTGTGGACCATTGGAGTGCAGATCTCATCCAGAGTGTTACTGCTGTGATGCCCATTGCTGATGTAATGAGAGCTGTTACAATAATTGGCAGTGAAACATACTCAAAGATTCATGCAGCCCCTACACATATGGAAAAAATGAGAGAGCTCCTTAAGACTCTAAACTCTGACAAAGCAAAATCTGCTTTATACAGTTTGCTTAAAGACCAGCAGATTTTCCTGGTTAAAGAGCTTGAACGAAAAGGTGAGAGAGATTAGTAAATACTAAACATTTAACAACACATACAAGACAAAACCCAGATTCTCAGAACCCAGCACAGATTCTAACATTGAATGGATATTTATTCTCATGTTGCATATGCTTATGCTACTTCTTGGATTCAATTGTGAGTTTGCGTAATAATAATTCCATTGTCAACAAGAAAGTACTACATTATGCTCTGTTGTGCAATTGAGATCTACAACTTTAAAAGTAAATACATTTTCTGTAAAGAAACATTGGAAAAACATTTGCAAACATGAATGACCCTCTTGGTCTTATATATCATATTTTCTTATGTAGGAGTTCAACAAGGGATTCCAAGGTCTTCGGGACAGACCTCATCAAAATTACTGAAAATTGAATCTCCCCCTCAACATGCAGAAACAGTACAAGTGCCAACTATCGAACAAAAGACAGAGAAGAAACAAATCCCCAGGTGGAACAAATCCTCCAAAAGACATGGTACAAAACTAGAGGAGCTGTTAAAAGAGACTGACATTGAAAAAGTAGGGAATCTCTACTTTAAAAAACATGAGAAGTACATGATTAGCCATAGTGGAAGCGGCGCACAAGTATATATTGGATTGAGTGAAGATGGCATTGAGGTGGCCATTAAACTAATAACAAAGAACCCAAAGAACAACAAAGACTTTGAAAATGAGCTGAACCATTTGCAAGATCTAAAGCTTGAGAGCCAGTATATCGTCAGATATGTGACCTTTGAAGTGGGTAAGGACTTTTTCTATCTTGCAAACCGGCTTTGTGAATACGATCTAGTGGACTACATGGACTATCTTCGTGTCCAGGAGCAAAAGGACAAAGACAACGCTTTGAGGAAAATAGTGAAGGAGATGCTTCTTGGCCTTAAAGTCCTTCACGACGCTGGAGTGATACATCGTGACATAAAGCCTAGAAATGTTTTGATAGGTAAAAAATTTTAAAATCAATCTCGGAATAATACAAATGATTCTATACGGTTGACTTTTACTTTAAAAAGTGATAACTCGCCCTAAAATTCTGTCTTCATTTACTCCCTTTCACTGTAAAAAAAATGCTATAAAGGTTAGACATGAGAGAGTAAATATTGACAGAATTAAACTTTAATTCGTAAGTATTCAAAGCTAAAATATTTCTATTTTTAGACGTAGATAAAAGGGCAAGGCTGGCTGACTTTGGTATCAGTCGCAAACTGGAGGAGGGAAAAACCACAGTGTATACTGACAGAGCTGGTACACGAGGCTGGGAGGCAACAGAGATCCTGAATCAGTCTGAAAAGGGCCGCTACAAAAAGAGCTCAGACATCCAGGTTTGTGAAATACCACGAATCAACTGCAGTCATGCTAACATGAGACCATCTAGCTTAAGAGGATTTGATTATCATTTTAGTCATAGACTAGTTCATAGTCTATGACTATGAACTAGTCATAGTTCATAGTCATAGACATAGTTCATAGAAATCTTGATTTCTTGCACTTTTCCAACTCTAATCAAGTCCAGTGCTGGTTAGTATTGTGCAGTTTTCCCTGTTAGATAACTGACAAATGATCCTCATTTATTGTAGGTTGCGGGAATGTTAACCTATTACATCCTCTCTGATGGGAAACATCCTTTTGGAGATGAACTCTGCTGTGAGGTGAACATCTTTAAAGGGGAATATTCTCTTGACGATGTCCGGGACAAAAAAGCAACGGATCTCGTAGAATGGATGATCAACAAAGACCAAAATCAGAGACCACCCGTTCACAAGGTTTTAGATAACCCTTATTTCTGGGATGATAAAAGGTAAATCAAAATTGATGTTTGATGCTTAGGAAGAAATCCTTTTCTGCTTATTCTTGCTTTTCACTTCTTACACTGGCAGTTAAGTGACACTTTATTTTTTCACTATTACTTATACAATAATGATGTATCTTGTGTCTAGTCTTTCACTGCATCCTCTTACTCTTTTACTTCTTTCTCCCCTTTATTTCCAGTATTTCAGTTGCTGTTTTTGCCTGATACTTTGACTCTGGCAGGATCTTGTTTCTAGACTTTTGGTCTCTGCGTTATCTTGGCATCTATCTGTCTGCGTCAGTTCTTGAGATGTCTCTACAGTGTGCTGCTATCTGACACACCCTTCTTTAAAGGGGTAAGGATACTTAATGTATCAAATAATGAGACTAAGTTTGATACTTGCATGTCTTGCCCATTTGAATTAAACTGTCCTGGCAATTAAACTGGCATTTGAATGTGTAATTTCATTGGATGTTTAAGAAAAGAATCTTCAAGATTCTAATACTACTAATACGTCAAAGTTAGCAAAATGTTATGTAAATTAACAAATGGGGGCGAAGATCGGAGTTTATAGAGACCAAACATGCCACACATATGATTTTGGCTAACCATAGTATGCAAAGTCTGAAACATTAACCCATTAGAGTTTACAAGAAAACATAGGCCAAACAACATAATCAACCTGTAACAGAATGGACATTCATGCTGGTCTTTTAACCAAGGTTCTTCAATCAGATGTTGCTTAACTAACTCTTGCATTTATACATTTTGTGCTTGTGTCCTAATCTATCTAATAAATAAAATAAATAAATAAAAAGTTTGATGTGCATTTATGTAGAAGATATGCTTGTTCTGCTGCTAAACCTATTTGCTCTTTGCATTCTCTTTTTATCATACAGATATGAGGAAGTAATTAAGAAGCTGGGCGATCGACATGAAGTCCAGTACTACATTGGTATTTCAGAAGCTTGCAAGATTAAGAAAACCGAAAAAGTTCTACCAGCAGAAGCCATTGAAAGGGCATGCCGTAAACAAAAAGTGTAGGAAAACATTTTTATTGGTGGTCTTGACTCCTGCTCCTTTGGCCAATGATGCCTTTATTGGTTTACCTTTATTTGATTTTCATCATATTTCTCTCTCGTAGTTCAGACACTGTTCTCTCCATCAAACTCTGACAAAAAAAGCTCTTCTGAAGAAAATGGCATCATTGTTTATTTTTTGCCAATGCTGTACAAATATGTTGTGTGTTTGGCTTAATGTGCTCTTTGCCTGCTCTTTTCTTTAGGAAAGCTAAAATCCTTGAGATGCTAGGCGAAACAGAGGAAGTCCAGGGCAAAACCTTCGAAAATCTTTCTAAGTTGTGCGACTATTCAGAGAACTACACAAAAGGAAAAACATTTAATCAATGGAAATCAGAGGTTGGTAGAAATATCCAACAACATGACTCGCAAGAACAGTATATTAGCTTTCCTTGCTGAACTGTTGTTTATAAAATATCTTTAGTTAAAGGAGTAGTTCACTTTAAAAAATACTTTTGCTGATAATTTACTCACCCCCATGTCATCCAAGATGTCCATGTCTTTCTTTCTTCAGTCGAAAAGAAATTAAGGTTTTTGATGAAAACATTCCAGGACTTTTCTCCATATAATACACTTTACTGGGACTCAAACGGTTCAAGGTCCAAATGACCGTTTCAGTGCAGCTTCAAAGGGCTTTAAACGAGTCGACACCAGACGATGAATAAGGGTCTTATCTAACGAAACGATCGGTCATTTAAAAAATAAATACAAAAGTTTAAGTTTTATAAGCACACATGTTAAAGAGAACTAATCCTTTAAGTAGTATGCCAAGACATCTACGTTAACATCTGAGATTGATGTTGCTCCTGATGATCACAACAATTTTGTAATTGTTTACCATCTGAACATTTCTTGGTTTAAAACCCTCGCTTTGTATTTGCAGCTTAAAGATAGATGGCCAGACATTAACATTGACAAAGATACTCCAGAGGACTTGATTGGCCTGCTCCGTTGTATTCGCAACGACACAGTACACAAGTAAGACAAAAAAACAACAATTTATTTTTAAATCTGTCCTTGTCTTTCGGAAATTACATTTTCCTAATTTCAAGTACGGTAGGTCTATTTTAACCAAGCAAAAAAGTTTATTTGAAGCGACAAATAATTGAAATCAATCTGCTGCAAAATAATTGTATTGAATATTTATTTAGGTTTCGGAGAGATTTTAAGCACAGCACAATGCAAAATACCTAAAATATTACTTAATTTGTTAAAGCTTTTTATTACAGGGTGAAAAAAGTAGAGTTTTTACATTTGAATGTGGCATAAGAGATTCCTTATATAATGCAAAACACTCCCATCTCAAGCTCCATATTGTTCTAGTGGTCATTTCTAACTTATTTTAGTCAGTAAGTTACACAATAAGGTATACAGTTAACGTTTCGTTCCAAAATTGTCCCAGTTTTGCATTTTATTCTTAACTGTTCTCACATTAATATTTCAATGCATTTTGTTTCCAGTTTGAAATTTGATAAAGAGAGGCTCGACCATTTTCCAGATTTCTTCATCAGCTTATACAGATTGACTACAGACATGGGCTGGGACTGTACCTGGTCTTAAGATGAGCAAGGAGAACGTCTGCTGTGAGTGCGAGTGTATATCTTCAATGTATATCTAATGAGTGATTATAATCAAGGTATTAATCAATATTTTTCCAATACTTCTCTAAGCTTATGAGATTTTACTTGGTTATAGAAGTTACCAGTGTGATTACCCAAATGTCCATTTTGTAGGTGTGTCAAAGATACACCTACACATTCCCTATATTCGTTCACTACTTTATACCCACAATCCTCTCTGAATTCGAGCACTATTTCCCAAAATCCAATGCGAAGAGGACTGAGTGCGCGTGAAAGTGCGGGAGCTTGCGAGTTTAATTGATGTTTTATTAACAAGGTTCGGGAGGAACACGTTCTAATGATCAAACAATCAAGTCATTCCAGCCAGCTGTCAGCAATCAGTAATCAACAGGTCCACTCAATCAGCACGAGTAAAGCCTATAAATATACTCAGTCGACTCACCCATATTCCTCGACAGTTTTCAGCATCCCTCCACCACCCCATCTCCTCACACTTGCCTAGTTATCTTCCTAAACAGAGATACGGGGGGAGTACTCTGGGTTCGGGCCCAATTTCCGAGCTCGGAGCCCTCCCCCCGGACAGCACGCCAATATACGCATAACCATCTATTCTCTGATCATTTGTAAGTGTGAACTCGTGAAACCACTTTACAGCTTTCTTATTTCTGCTTTAACATTTATCTCATGCTAGTGTCAGGACTCGGGTTTGATCACTGCTCTTCCTGCTTTGTCTCTTGGTTATGTGTCCCTGTATATTTCTACAGATTACAACATTTGTAATCAGCGGTACTCCGCGCCCATCTCTCACCTGTTTCTCCGTTTGTTCATTTTTCCACACTTTGTTTCTGTGGCAACCACGGCTGCGCCGCACTGTAATTAGTGCTCTTGCACACCTCTCTCACCTGATTCACCTCTGATAGCCCTATTAAGAAGGGGAGCGCGGGGCACAACCTAACGCGGGGTTAAATGTAACACGGACCTTTTACATAGTTATGCTGCGTTCCAGGCAGGTTTTTGAGCACGTAAATCACGACTTCAAACCCACGACTCACGACTTTGTAGCGTTCCAGGCCAGTCACGCCAAACTGCCTGAGCGCAATATACATACTTATTTTTTCAGACACATAACATTGTAATACATATTCGTGTGTGTGTATTATTATCATTATTATTATATTATTAATTTGACTGCAACGTTATATTGTCCTAAAGTGTATTCTCACTGTGTACCACCTGCAGAAACACTGCATCCGTAGGGGCTGCCATTGTTGTTTTGTATAGTTTTGCGGGCTATGTGACGTCAGAGCTCGTAACTGGGAGTACATCAATCTAGTACGAGTTCACAGGTGGGAAGTCACGGGTTCGACTGCCGTTCCAGTGCACTTTCACGGGTATAAGGTTGGAAAAACACGGGTTACAGGTTGCCTGGAACGCGGCATTAGTCAGGATCAAGCCGGTTGTGTTTCCGCTCTTTTTCTCGCTGCCAGAAGACAGTCTCCCGCGAATTTGTGGAAAGGTTTGATAATATTTCGTGAAGATACTGGACAAAGAGTGTTTTGACACCATGCAAGTAAATTTTTTCATCATAGGTTTTTTTCGGTTTCTTAGTTGGGTGTGTACGTCTCCAAATCTAACTTTATATTGCCTTAATCACTGTCTTGTTGGCTAAAACATAGCACCGTTTTGAAACATGTCAGCAACTCCTAGCAACTGTTAGCTAGGCTTAAAATATTTTTTACACAGCGGGGTTAGTTGTAGCGCAGTGTTACAACTAAGCCGCCAAGTGTACAATGATAATCAAAGGAAAACAGGGAGCCACACAACTTTTCAGGTTTGAGTATTTATTTATATATTTAACTTTGTTGGACTTTCACAAACATTGTTGGAATTTATTTATTTTTAAATTTAGTTTACTATGCATTGATCACTTGTTTCTTTATTAAAAATATAGCCTGGTTTTAATGCAATAAACACTTTAAATTTTTATTTTAAGCTCGTTTTTATTATTATTACTGTTATTATTATCAATAATAATAATTTTACATGCAGCTGCCACACACAAATGTAATTTAATTGCAATTACAATATTTGATGATTTTATTTATTTATTGCTTGCAAAACTGCAGCCCTTTCATATCTCTTTCCATGATATTGATCCATAATAGAAGGATGATTGGATGAGGGATGGATGTATGGATATCTATCTATACAGATGCACAAACAATATCAAACTATACAAATAAAATAGTACTGAATTGACCCTTCGCTAAGCCACGCCTGAAAACCGCCACTGGCCAATCGTGTCTTAGCAACCGTAACTAGGCGCGGGAGGTCTGGCAAGCTTTCGAGCGAGGGAAACATGCCGAAGCGTTGTGCGTATGGATTGTGCAAATCTGATAACCGGTATTCTAAAAGTTTGGAATTGTTTTCCTTCCCGAAAAATCTAAAAGCCAAGGGGAGAAATAATGGGCGTGGATCAAGCAGTGTGGGAGACCCCGTTCACAACTATGTCGACAGGATTAACAAAAACACCTATTGCTTGGAAGTTGGAAATAATGATGGTTCTTTGTTCATAATGCATATATTTTAACGTAAAATAAGACGATTAAAGACAAGACGGCTTTAGCTTCAATTTTTATAAAATTATCCTCTAATCGGTTGCATATTTTGTCGTGGATATATATCCCTCGAATGCATACTGCAGTCCCTTTTGTCTTGCTCTCAGATATTTCACATGTTCGCCAAAAATGACTAATCATCTCATTGGGAATGTCTGACACCGGTGCATACACACTGTAATAGACGTGCCAGGCGCGAAAGCTTGACAGGCGTAGCAACAGTAACTAGGGAGGGCGGGGCTTAGCGAAGGGTCAATTATGTGTGTTACACACAAGTGTTACAACTAACCCCTCTGTCTGTTACAATTAACCTCGCATATGGGGTAGGTTGTAACATTTGCATATCTATCACTCTCAGTGCAACTGTACGAAAATGGAAGGTCCTAGAAAAAAACTGTAAGTGTTCATTTGTAGCAGAGATGTGTATGTTGCTTGTGTAAAAAAAAAAAGATGAATCTAACTTAATTATTTTTTTAAATAATTGAGCCAAAACCAAAATGTGTTAGGTTGTGCCCCACTCTCCCCTAGTGTTATATTTTTGCCTTGTCAAGTTTTTGACCCTGTTTTGTTTCTCCTATTCCTGTCCAGCCCTGCAGCTCAGCTTACCCCATGCCTTTTTGGATTTGTTTCGGTTATTGGACCTTTGCCTGTACCTGGATTATTCTCTGCTCCCCTCGTTGGACTGTCGTTTGCTGGTTCGGACCCTGCCTGCCTCTTGACCACTCTCCTGTCTTGCCCTCTTGCATTGTTGGACTGTCTACACTTTGCTGACCCTTGTCTGTCCTTGGACTACGTCATCATCGCTTCCCCCTTGCTCGGTGGCTTTGCTGCCTGATTAAATATAGTTTCCTTTTACTTTGATTTTTTTGTCCAATTTGGACAAACAGTTTGAACTGATCTGCTCTTGGGTTGTCTTTTTTCGTCCAGCCGGTACAGCAAGTTTTATTTATTTTTATTTTTTAATCAATCATTACTTGCTTACTATAAAACATTAGAATATAGAGACTATGATATAGATTAATTTATAAATTTAATGAAATTATATTAATAAGGTAAATTATATAGGTAGGCTATATTATTAAAATATATTATTTAGACATTAATTCAATTGAATGCGTTTTACTAACAGCCAGTTGTTATAATAATTTGTGGCATTGTTGTTAACTCATTAAACTAAGGAAGAGATGATAATTTGGTGGATGATTTAAAATATTAGTTAATCATCTGTAGGTAGTGTATTCATTTGAATGTAATCATAACGGTCGCCTGAGGGGGCTTGTGTCCTATGTTGGGACTCATCTCTTCACCACACCACCAAAGTCCTAATATGGTGCTGCTGACATCTTGTGCAGATTTGGGACCTGATTCTGCGCAGTAGTGAACATTGTAAACATTGTAAATATGAACGCTTGAAATCAGACAAATCATAAAGGCTATCACAATCATGTTTTTATTGTATCTGTCAGTAGGCTACATCTCTTCTCTTTATACCTGACCATCATAAAATAAAGCAACTTTTTTTCGGGAGCTTCCTCTGTTTCTCTGACTGAAAATATAACTGTAGCCCACTGGGAGAGAGTGCTAAAGCTCGTATTTTGGTGGCATATTTGTAGCAATTATCATTCTTTCTAAATGTGATGCAAATATGTCCTGTAACTACCAAATAAACAGAAACAGCAGCGACTGAATAAGTAGTGTCCTCTTTCTTTTGTGAAATGGACCTAACAGTAAACCACTTTATTTCTGTGTGACTAATGTGCAATTTTGACACAAATTAATTAATTATGATCAATGTAGCACTTTTTATTGTAAACCTGTGGTAAAATATGTAAACTGGTCCAATTTACTTGTAAACTGGTTCAAGTAAACAACAAAAATGCCAGCAAACAGTTGCTTTTATCATGTTTGTTTTGCAAACATGCTGTTTCCAGTGATTTCTGATAAAACTTCCATTTGTTGGTGAAATGATGGGTTTGTGTGACATAGTTCCAGAGAGGCGTGTTACAGCCGGGTTTTAGTGAAGCGCTGCTGCGGAGCTTCAGGCTCGACAGTGGAAACGTAGGAGATTTTGGGCCCGGTGCTACAGGTCCGAGGCTATTAGCCCGGCCCAGCCCGTTCACAGCCATGGCTCGCACTGTTGAGAGAACAGTTGGGGACCCATAAGCAAAATTACTTGGCAAAACAGATAGATATTAAATTGGTTATTCGCAAAGAAAGAGTGCATTGTGTAATATTTGAAGCTAACTGTTGTAGCCTATTTATGTTCCAAATACAGATCCTGAAGGATCATTCACAGAGGAATGAAGAATCTGAATAATAAGGGAAGGGGTCACTGAAAATGCAGGAGATAAGCATATTGGGAATTAATTTGACAAAATATTTGGATTATGGG